GGGAGATTCTTAGAAATTCGTCAAACTGATGAATTTGACGAAGATCAGAGTGAAGAAATGGAACATGGGCGAAACTAAATCATCATAGAAAAATAAATCATGCATACAAGATAGATGCAGGTGAAGAACGTGCAATCATACAAGCATTCATGCTACACAAGATGAATTGAATAAATGAAAGGCATGATGAAATTCTTTAGTTCAACTTCGTCAGAATAGATCACAAATACTTCAGTAGCGGAATAACAGTAAGTAAAGAGTTGAGGAATTTGGAACCAGGCAGGATCGGTGAAGAAACAACGATTTGGTAGACCAGTTTCAGTTGTTGTACGAGCTGTACATCTGGTTGGAGTGGCTTGAGATTCAACCTAGAAGACACTTAGTCTTCACCGTATTCTCCTTGAGCTAAGGTCACTGAAGACCTCGCCAAATCACTCGTGGTAGTCTTCAAAGGTAGACTTACAAAACCTTCATAGACTTGTTCACCAGCACGCCACAATTACTCTTGGTGCTCAGAACATGACGCCTGCCAGTCTGAAAGAATGACAGTTTTAAAGGTAACAGGCGTCACGTCACACTAATCAATCTCTTCAGTGATGCTCAATCACCTTGACTCTGGTTGGGTTTTCCCTCACTTAGGTTTCTCACAAAGTCATCAGAGGAAGGGTTGCTCTCAAATGACAAGTGCCAATCTCTCTCTAGAGCAGCCAAGCAACAAGTGGTTATGGTGGTGGCTATTTATAGCCAGGGGCAACTTGATATGAATTGTCATAAATGCCCTTTCGGACATGACCGTTGTTAGGATAAGTATCCACACGACAGCTGGCACTCAGTGCAGCAACGGTCAAAAATTTGGACTATCAAATTTGTCGGGGTACTCGATTTCCTCACGATAGGCAGATTGCACTGGCGAAATCCTAACTACTCAATTAGAACAATTTCCTCAGCAACCAGAAGAACTTTGTCTCTATCCAACAAACTCGTCAGCACTACCGGAGATTTCCAAAGTCTTCATCTCGAAGAAATAGGTTTTGTATAGGTTTTGAGCATCACTTCGGAAATACGATTATGTATCACCTTGACCCCTGGTGGGTATTGTTATAAATAGATTCATAGTTGTTATTGCATAATACCTACTGTATACCATCATCTGAATGACTTACTGCCCCCCGATACAATTCATATAAACATTAAAACAAGCACACTATGCAATAAAAACAAAATCTGTCTAAAACAAAATAGTACGTGATGTCTACTACGCAACCTTCTTATAGACTCATGTTGGGCCTCCAAGCACATAGTTTTGTAGGACAGTAGCAATTTTCCTTCAAGTGGATGATCTAAGATTTATCAATCCGTGGGAGGCGTAGGATGAAGATGGTCTCCCTTAAACAACCCTGCAACCAAATAACAAAGAGTCTCTTATGTCCCCAACACACCCAATACAATGGTAAATTATATAAGTGCACTAGTTCAGCGAAGAGATGGTGATACAAGTGTAATATGGATAGTAGATATAGGTTTTTGTAATCTGAAAATATAAAAACAACAAGGTAGCAAGTAACAAAAGTGAGCAAAAACGGTATTGCAATTCTTAAAAACAAGGCCTAGGGTTCATACTTTCATTAGTGCAAATTCTCCCAACAATGGTAACACAATTAAATCATATGGCAATCCCTCAACGAGCAACAAAAATCACTCCAAAGTTTCTATTGGAGAACGTAGGACGAAAACGTGCATCAACCCCTATGCATATATTACACCAATGTCACCTCAGGAATCCGTGATTTGAGTGCCGAAACATACATCAAATGAATCAATAGAACATCCCATTGTCATCACAGATATCCCATTGCAAGACATGCATCAAGTGCTCTCGAATCCAATACTCAATCCAACATAACGAAACCTCAAAGAGCAAGACTGAATTCATCACAAGAAGGTAGAGAGGGAAGAACACCATAAGATCCAAATATATTAACAAAGCTCGCGGTACATCCAGATCGTGCCAAATCAAGAACACGAGAGAGAGAAAAAGAGATCAAACACATAGCTACTAGTATATACCCTCAGCCCCGAGGGTGAACTACTCCTTCCTCATCATGGTGGCCTTCAGGATGATGAAGATGGCCTCCGGTGATGGTTTCCCCCTCCGACAGGGTGCCGGAACGGGCTCCCGATTGGTTTTTCGTGGCTACAGAGGCTTGCAGCGACGGAACTTCCGATCTAGGGTTCTTTTCGGGGTTTTTGGTATTTATAAGAATTTTTGGCGTCGGTCTCACATCAAGGGGGTGCATGAGGGGCCCACAAGCAAGGGGCGCCCCCTAGGCTTGTGGCCTCCTCGGTCATGTCCTGGCCCAACTCCCGTGCTTCGGGTCTCTTTTGGTCCATAAAAAATCATCGTAAATTTTTAGCCCATTCCGAGAACTTCTATTTCTGCACAAAAAACGACACCACGGTAGTTCTATTGAAAACATCGTTAGTCCGGGTTAGTTCTAATCAAATCATACCTAAACCAAATTGTTATTAACATGGCATGAATACTTCATAAATCATAGATATGTTGGAGACGTATCAGTACGTAATGAGAGAATTGTTATCCATACTTCTGCATCTCCAAAAATTCTTAAAAATTAGAACAACATAAAAAATTTGTAACCCAATGTTGTGTAAAAAAAATCAGGATTTTATCTTGTTCCAGTACAGAATAAGAATTCCAATACTAGGCAGAAAAGTTCATGTTTATGCATAGGATCAAATCAACTATCATCCAAATCACCCTAAAGGCTTTACTTGGCACAAAATTCAAACGCAAAGATACAAACAAAATCATTACAATAGCAATAGTCATGTTGACACATCAAATAAAAAGAAAACAATAAAGATAACTATTGGGTTGCCTCTCAACAAGTGCTATTGTTTAATGCCCCTAGCTAGGCATAATGCATAGTTTCGAGTTGTCGTGGGGATCTCATGGCAGATGCCATGGGATGGCTAAAGAGAGGGACATACACGAGGGCACCGGTGGGCTCCAGAGGCGAGGTTGGTATGAGCGAGCATGAGACACAAGACGTACCCTGTAAGTGCATCTAGTGCCCCTTAGTGATTTTGGTGTATTGAAGACTTACAGGTTAAGGGACTAATGAGTTTGCGAGTGTACACAGGTCTATAAGTCTATGAGGAGTTTGATATTTATG